GTGGGGTGGGGAAGGGCGGGGGGGGGGTGTGACAAGGCACAGAAAAAACTTTTCAGAAGATGAAGAAACATAAATTTGGGGAGATTTATATTTTTTAGGTCTCTTTACTAATCTAACATGTCTTAAAATGTTCTGAGAAAAGTTAAAAGGCATTCTTAAATAGCTTGCTTGGCATCAGCCATACATAAATCCTATTGCTTTACCTATGGTATATCTCATTTTACTCTCCCCCCCTTTCCAGCATCACTACCACTGCTTCATTACTCCAGTTATGTCAAAAGCCTCCAAAGTCATCCTCCTGCTTCCAGTCTTAACACCCTCCAACCTGTTCTCCACACTCCTGCCAGAGTAGCCAATAAAAGATGCTGACCACGTCATTCCCTGACTCATACTCTTTCAAGAGTGGCGCAGACATTTTATCATGGCACACAAAGGCCTTCCTTGCCATCTTTCTCCCTCTCCTCTGTTTCCATGGCACCCTGACTTACCTTCATCAAGTGCATACAAACCACTGTGCATCCTGCGCCTTATTTTCCAGTTTCTGCTCTATAGGGAGGTTTTTTTGAAATTAATTTTTATTACAGTATAGCTGCTTTACCATGTTGTGTTAGCTTCTACTGTACAGCAAAGTGAACCAGCTATACATATACATATATCCCCTCTTTTTGGATTTCCTTCCCATTTAGGTCACCACAGAGCATTGAATAGAGTTCCCTGAGCTATACAGTAGGTCCTCATTAGTTATCTCTTTTATACATACGAAGGTTCTTTAATACATGATAATAAATAATAATCGTGAAACAACTTTCATTTATCTAACAGAGTAAGTGCCAGGCATTTTGCTAAGTGCTTTCCAAACTATATCTCATTTTATCTTCACCACACCATAATGAGAAAGTACTATTATTGATATTCATTTAACACAGGATAAAACTGAGGCCTAGAAAGGGAAAATAACTTGCCCAAGGTTGCACAAATAGGAAGTAGCAGAGTCTGGATACAAACCCTGATCTATATAACTCCAAAGCCTGTATTCTTTCCAATATTTCATCACCTTATTGTGCATTCATTTTACAAAAAGCAGACAAAAATTTTAAATAGAACAAATTATATACATTATAGTTAAAAAAGAAAAGGTAAAAGTCTATTCTGTATCATTTGGAGCCTATCTAGGAGAAGTGGTCTTAAATTTTATTTGGAAGAAGGTAAAGTATGAATTAATATTACCTAGGCAGGAGAGATAAGTATCTGCCAGCGTTAGGATTAAAAAATAATAAGATTAGAAAGCCTATAAGTGGCCAAGACCCCACACTGTTTTTCCTACTTTTAGGGAAATGGCAGAGGCCCCAAGAGGCAGAAGGGTATATTCCTCTTACACTGAGAGATACCCGAACTACTTATCCTCAAAATACAGGAATAACCTGAAACTAGATTGGGTTATATTAAACTTTCCTCCTCCACAGATTTTATTTTTTTTCTGCAAACTCTTATTTTATTTCATTTTTTATTGGAATATAGTTGATTTACAATGTTGTGTTAGTTTCTGCTGTACAGCAGAGTGAATCAGTTATACATATACATATATCCCCTCTTTTTTAGATTCTTTTCCCATACAGGTCATTATAGAGTACTGAGTAGAGTTCCCTGTGCTATACAGTAGCTCCATATTAGTTATCTATCTTATAGATAGTAGTGTGTATGTGTCAATCCCAGTCTCCCAATTTATCCCTCCTCCCCTTTCCCCCCGGTAACCATAAGTTTGTTTTCTACATCTGTGACTCTATTTCTGTTTTGTAAATAAGTTCACTTGTACCATTTTTTTAGCTTCCTCCTCTACAGCTTTTAGAAACGAGTGTTAGTGAGCTAAAGCCAGGTAACAATTCATGAATACTACGTCTCTTTCATTTTTCAAGGCGGGGAAAAGGTTTCCCCGAAATTTTACTCTTCTTTTCCAGGCCTTCATATCTCTACGCCAGACCTCCTTCAACTTCCCATGTCACCCCAAACTGAATAAAAGTCTCTGAGTATTGTGCATCTGTCTAGGGCTTACTGACAGCCCTGTGATTTGTTGTGGTTATAACCTAGAGGCATTCCT